AGGAAAAGAACACTGATGATGATAGTAATAACATTAAAAGTAATAGTAATAATGATAATATTATAAATGACAATAGTAATTAATGATAATATTATAAATGACAATAGTAATTAATGATGAAATTAATGATAACAATAATAATAATGATAATAATAATAATAATGATTATTATAGTAATAACAAGGTTATTAATAGGGATCATACTATGATGATTACGATGATAAGAATAACAGATAAAATACTAATGATTATGATAATGATAAAAATGTAAAACTGATAATAATAATGATGAATAATATTAATAACTACTACTACTAATAAGGATAAATATGACTTCTAGTAGTGATAATAACAATAATAACTATAAATGTAATAATAATGATAATAGATATGATGAATAATAATCAAAATGATAATGATAACGATAAAAATAATAATTGCTATAATTGCTGATAATGATAATAAAAGAATGATAATGGTCATAATAATGAAGATGATGATGATAATAATAAGATGGAGATACTAATTATAATAATAATAACGATAATAATAATGTTGATGATGATAATAATGATAATGATAATAATAATAATAATAATAATAATCATAATAATAATGTATATATAAAAACACACACATACACACATATATCATCATCATCATCAACGGGGTTAACGCCGACGGGGACGCATGGCCGCATCCACACTTCGCTTCCAGCCACGAGTGTCCCTCATGGCGAATATCCAGCAGGCCCTCAGCCCATCTCCAACTCCCCGCGATAGGTCTCGTCGGGCTGCCTAAGCCATGACCTCTGTACCCCGTGATCTGGCAAAGAGACTTGTTATAAAGGGCTTCCATATAGCAAAACTAGCTTGGTCCTGCATAAGTAATGACATCTCCAAATGGTCTTGTTGATCGAGTTCATGGCTCCTGCTGTCAGACTAATCTGTTTACTGACTTCTTGGTCTGAGAGCCTGAAGATATGGACTACATTATCAAGGTATGCACAGCTCTCTGTGACTTCAACGTCCTCACTGCAAGCATGAATCGACTGAATGGGTTCCTCTAACAAACCCCCAAAGAATTAAATCTTGGTCTTAGTTCAGGTGACCTCTGGGCTCGTGTTATTGCTATATGTACCAGTGACTCCAGGGACACAGATAGGATAACAACATCATTGGCAAAGTCAAAGTCTCATACCTTGATATTGCTCAGTGTAGCTCCTCACTGACTTTGGGTTCAGTAGGGATATCACATATGCCTGTGGCTTTCCTACACTTCAGCTTGGAAATCGCCATCCTAACCTCCATTAGGGTAGAAGGTTCCTTGCTGATGGGTGGGTCCGGTACAGATATTGTGATACTACTTGCATCCAAGCTAACTGTTGGAGGCACTACCTTGTACAACTGCTCAAAATACTCAGTCCAACGTTCACGAACCCCAGCATTATCTGAGATGATCTGCCCATCCACTGAGCGGTCTGCAGTCATCTGCAAGGAGGGATTAGAGCTCAGTTTTCTCATGGCTTGGCAGGCAGGGCGAAGGCCATTTACCAAGAAATGGTCGTCACCCTCTTCAGCAAGATTCCTGTTAAACTGTTCCTTATCCCTTCTCAACAATGTCCAAGCCCTACACAAAGAGCGACACAAAGTCCTGATTGCCTTTCAGTCGAAGCATGCGACATGCTTCAGTGGCCTCCAATATCTCCAGAAAGATGAAATACTGCCTTGCCCTCGGGTGTACGCCAATGGATTCCTGTGCTGCTTCGAGTGTTTCGCACTTAAAGCACTCCCACAGAGCGACTGGGCCCGTCAGGTTTTCAAGTTCTGTGAATTGATCAGAGACAGCCGTGAGGAACCCACAGGCACACTCCTCCCTCAGTTTGTCTAAGTGAAACACCCTAGTGTAACCATGGAGGGACGAAATGTTTTGAAGTGGACCCATAGGGTAGCAGTCCAGTAAACCCTGCAGTTCTGGAGGATGCTCCATCGAGTGCTGACAAGAATGTGGTCGATCCATGGCTACAGTACTCGTATCGCTATACTATGTCCAGCGATGCAGATTGGAGCACTTATACCAGGAGCCAGAAATCCTCATTCCCTGGGACACATACACACTCACACACACACACACACACACACACACACACACACACACACACATATATATATATATATATATATATATATATATATATATATATATATACATACATATATACATGCATATATCTATATGTATAGCATCATCAAGGACAGATGGTTAAAAACTGAGCAGCTGACCAATGACCTTATCTGTGTCTCGTGGTCACGCACAACACAGCAATTCTGTTGCTGATGTTCCAGTAGCTGCTGCAACTGGAACATCAGCATGTATACATATATACATAAACATATACATACATATATATTTATGTATGTCTATATGTTATATAGTTATATCGTCATTGTCCAAGCAATTACGGCAGATGGAAGCAGGTGGCGGTAACACGAAATATTAG